GGCGTCTTCTCTGACCAAGGAATATCCGTGTGTTTGATTCGTTCCACCACCTGGTCATACGGTCCCATATAATTGTCGCGGTTGTCCCAGGCCCAGAAACTAAAATCCGGCATGAGCCAGACCCCCTCTTCAGTGGGAGTGCGCGAAAAGACCCAGACCGGCCATTCTGAGTTGGTCACATCGTCGACCTTATCTTCCACCGAGAAAACAAATTCAAAGTTGGGTCTCGAAGCTCGTTCCGGGTCGGCGGCCAGCGCACGGTGGATTGAGCTCAATGTTCCCAAAATTTTCCGTCGGTGATCCTCGCCCTTGGACCGCGCCGTGACCACATATAATTGGCCATTAGAAATGAATGCGCGTGCCATGCCATGTTGGATTGTGATTGCGTCAAGTTCTACCGACGATAAGCGACCGTGTGAAGACCAGAATTTGCCACCGCGCGCGACATCCTCAAATAACCCGGGGAAGGCAGCTTTACACTGGTTCTTGTTGAGGGTCTCATTGCGACCGTCGCGAGCATATTCGAAGGTCCAGGCAGGGGAGCGGTCTAATTGTAGAGCGGGTTCCGGGCAGGTAAGGCAGGTCGAGCATTGGAAGGTAGTGGAGGATTCGCAGGCGCAGTGTCCGGCGGGGATTAACTGAGTGAGAACAGGGTGAATGTATTCTCGGTCGGAGTTCATGCCAAACCAGATGACGATGATGGCGCTGAAGCTAAAGGCGGTTATGACACACAGAAGCGACAAGCCGCGTCGCGGGCGAATCGGAAAGGAGGCTGTCATGGTGAAGACCCAGACTGGCACGGCATGATCTGGAAGTGCGAGGGGTCTCTGAGGGTCTGAAGAGTTGTCTTAAAGAGTGTTTTAAAGAGTCAAGAGAAGAGAAGGGGGCCGATCAAGAGCCCTGAAACAAACCCCCCAAAAATGGCAGTGATGTGCAACTATGGACGCGCAACTATGGACGATCGCCTCTAAAACGCCCCCGAAATACCTGTGGATTAGCCTCAACCCGGAGAGTGGGGGCAGTGTCATTTTCCCTTTTTGAATTTTTTTCTTTGAAACTGCGTTATTGGGGGTTTCTTGATTGGTTTGATGTAATTAGATTGGTTGGACAGGAACAATCCTCCGAGATGCATAGAAGAGACAAGGTAAAAAGAGACAAGGGAAAGTCACCGTGGACCCTTTTTTTTCCCATTGCTTTGGGGCCCTGGGGAAGCTTGTTGATCCTATTTGGGGCCGTTGGGTGATTTATACACGGCATACAGTATTTAACTAACACACACCCTAAGGTTTTGATCTAAACCAACTTGCCTCGAATACTTAATAGGGGACCGACGCTATAAGAAATAGCTTCAAAGGCTAAAAGTCAGGAGAGGGCTCTGCTGAACTACCATTTCCAGCCCATCAGAACTAGATACAAGTATAAGCAATGTCTCTAACAATGTCTGCTTGATCGTCTAGTATGCATTAACCAATTTCCCAACAGCCAATTTTCCCTGGCAACAGAAACGCCCGCTGGAATGCATGGAAGATAACGCAAAATTTGACCTTGGGGAGGATTCAAAAGCCCCAAAAGCCTCATCATTGTCCAGAGTGACTCCGGCCATGTCGTATCCCCCGACTGCGGCCATTGGATGGAGCAGGCGTCTGACTGGCATCCATATCTGGGGTAGCAGGTATTGCTGGTCGACGTTGTCGGCTGTGTCGTACACGACCGAGAGCTCGGCGCAAAAGCCCGTCAGCTTCATTGTCAAGATCCATTTCAACCTTTTCATCTTCGGCCGCGGGCGGGGCGACATGGGCCACCTCCTCGTTCCGTCCTTCCACAAAGGGCTCCTGATGTCCACGTCGTCGAGACAACTCTTCCGGGGCGACTCGGTCTTTGCCCTTGTGTTCACGAGACCGAGTAGATCCCCGGCGCTTGGAGGAGGCTGCGCTGCCTTCTCGTATACTCTCCTCGAAAGCCGTGCGGTCCTTTTGTCGCCCCTCCAAGGCCCAGAGCTCGAGTGCGCGAGAAAGTAATGTACCGGCCACACCTGCACCCCCGGCTGCATCGCCGCCACCACTCGCCCCAAGTACACGCACAGCCTCGTGCAAGGCAGTCACCGCGTCCGTGGTTCTTCCCAGCTCCAGTAATACAAGGCCACGAGATGTATGAAGAGAACCGATCAGCCCCCGATCTTCGTAGCCCCCGACCCCAGATGCGGTAGCGATCGCCGCTGAGCCGCCCGTCCCACCACCCAGAAATGGCGAGTAGCCCATGCTGCTCCCTCCTGCCCCCACACGGAGACATTCATCAAATTCTCGAAGGGACTCGGACAGACGGCCCATGCGACGGTAGGCATGACCTAGGTTCGCACGTGTAGCCACCCAGGCACTGGGTTCGCAGTGGAGAGAAGTAGCTAGAGCCAGTGCTTGCCCAAACAATTCGATAGCGTCGCTAAGGTTATTCTGGTGGTAAAAGACAACTCCAAGCTCGTTGAGAACTAGTGGGTCCCCGCCAACGGCTGAGACAGTTCCTGGGGGATTAGGTGTGAGGGAAGACACAGAGCCGGGGGTAGCTCCAGTTGACATAGCATGAGCGGCACATAGATACTCGTGCGCCAGAGACATGTTATTGAGGGCGAGATGTTGCATTCCTAGGAAGAGTTGGGGAAGGTGGCTACCCTGGAAAAGTCGAGCAGCAGTGCTATACGCGGCGATAGCTTGGTCGTGTTCACCCTCTGCGGCAAAGGTATGCGCAAAACCAATCCAAGCCGGGGCCGAATGCGGATCTAGCAGTGACGCCTTCGAGAAGAAGCGCCGCGCCTCGGCCACCTTTGATACCGACAGATAGTAGACACCGATTGCTAAGTATGTGTAAGGCTCCTCCGGGGAATGATCCGCAAGCATGTGAGAGAGTAGGAATAGGGCATTCGTGGCACCGGTCTCGTAAAGACAAGCCAAATGGAGCGGATAAATGGCTGGGGCATGGCCAAGGTTGTTCTGTGCCGGGATGCTGGGATTTGTGGAGGACAGGTCGGTTGATTGAGAGGTGGAGAGGATAGAGGACGTCAATTCCAGAGCTTCTGCAAACCGGCATTGTGTATACAAAGCTTCGGCGCGGGATAAAAGGATATCGGGGTTCTCTGCAAGGTTATAATGTGTGGATAGGGTTTCAGTGGCGTCGGAGAGTATAGTAGGGGAGGAGTATTTCGATAGACGGGTCGTGTAAAGCATCTTCGTGAAGTGGGCGGCTTCTTGTGCCATCATGGGATCTGGTGATGAGACGGAATCAAAGTCTAGCGATTCAAGGAATTCCAATTCTTCCGTCGGAGACATTAGAGAGTTCTTCATGAGCTGGTCAAATGCTTCAAAACACTGCACGTCAATTCGCACGGCATCCTTGTAACAGTCCCGGGCACGATCAAATGCATTCTGCTTGGCGAAGCAGAGCCCCCGTAAATAACACATGGCGGCTTCGAATCGTATATTGTTGGCATCCTCACGTTCTCGCTCCTCGGTTCGATCGCTGCGCGGAGTCGCGCTCTTCCCATTGCGCAGTGTAACATGGCTTTGATGTTGGATCTTGCGCCGGGTGTGGTTATTGCGGATGAGATCCGTGGGGTTGTGTTCACCGAGAATGGAGAGGGCTTGTTCGAATTGGTTCTGTTTTATGTAGCAGTGTGCAGCAAGGTAGCGGCAGGCAGTGCTTCGAGAAACGAGATCTTTGCGGGAGAGAAGGGCTAGGGCGCGCGTGAAGTTGTTATTTGAAAAGTGTACTTGAGCCAGCCAAAACGCGTCGGAGTCACTGTCTTTACCAGCAGGTCAGTATTCCTTGTACTGTTGAATGTTCGTCGCGCTTGTGGTCCTTACTGGTAAGCGCCAGGACTTTGTCCCCAATGTAGATTGCGGAATCATGTTGGCCACGGTTCAACGCGTCCTGCCGCCAGGAGCGTAGAAATCTTTCCATATCGACAGATGAAACGCGTCAAGGAATGGGATGCAAAGAAAGGACAGACATAGAGATCCCTGTTAGAATCCGGAGATATCCAAGCAATGCAAGTCGCAACTTTCGCTTGAGCGGGTCCTTGCCCTCCAGGGCTATTTGAACCAAACAGTGGCCCGTGCGTACTTGTGAGGAAGGATAACTATGTTGTACGTCAATGTATCTAGGTACAAGATTTTCGGACCCCCCACTCTCATTTTTTAACCATTGCTGTACTTAGACATAAATGAATTAATCTAAAAGATAAACATAGGACCAAAATACCAACAATCCTTAGCCGACTGGCGGCCATAGTCAGCTGATTGCAGTCCCCGTGTATCAAAAGCCCTATACGTTCTATATGTAGGGATCCTAGGTACGATACAATAGTTGATATAACGAACTGTAATAAATGAAAGTAAAGGTCTATCCTCGCTACGCTCGGCCTGATCAGCGGCCTCGCACCCGGTTTGGGTGGCCCAACTTGGTCTGGTACTCACTGTTCCGTACTCCGTCCTCCATATAGCTCGCAGAACTACCTACCCACGGTAAGGCAGAATCAACCAATAAAGCACGATAAAAGAGGACGAAGCCGTGAAGTCTTAACAAAGTCCTGCACACGAATTCACCCATGAAGGAATTATGTAGAATTTACTTAGTGTCAAAACGGATCTAGCCATACTTCAAATGACACGTTATTTCCAAAGCTAGTAATAGTTATGTAGGGCATATCGTGAGTCCTTTGGTAACTGGGTCGCACCTTCCCTACGTGGACGCCTTCCAAGTCGGTCGGGGTAAGCATGTGCTTGACCTGCTCCGGGTAGCCCACTGCGATCGTTATCGCGATCTGATCGGAGTAGTCTCGATATCGGGAGTCAGTCCACAGATTGGCCTCGGGAAGGCCTTATCGTTGCCTTATCGGTGTCTTATCGAAGTCACGTGACGCTCGCGATGGCACTTGTTAAAGATAAAGATACAAAGGTTAGTTTCGTTTCTTCCACAGTCACCACATCTCCTTTCGCCAACCGAAAGACAAAATGGCTGAGCGAAAGGTCCTCTCAAAGTACTATCCCCCGGACTTCGACCCCTCGGCGATCGCTAGCTCGTCCAAGCGCTCTCGCAAGGATGGCAAAGCCGAGTCAAAGTTGTCCGCCAGCCGCCTGATGACACCCTTTTCAATGAAATGCACTCACTGTGGCGAGTACATCCCCAAGGGTCGCAAGTTCAACTCGCGCAAGGAGACCCTCGCCGAGAGGTACCTCTCGATTCCAATCTACCGTTTCTACATCCGTTGCACGCGATGCAGCGGCGAGATCACCTTCCGCACCGATCCTAAGAGTAAGTCTGAACGCATGTTGCTACCACTTGCCTGTATGAAACTAATTCCATTAATAGACAGTGACTACCAGTGCGAACGCGGAGCAAAGCGCAACTTCGAAGTTTGGCGCGACGAGGAGGACGAGAAGTACAACGACGAGACCGAGGAGCAGACCCTTGACCGACTCGAGAGGGAACACGGCGCAAAGGAAGAGCAGCTGGAACGCGACAAGATGGCTGAACTCGAAGACAAGATGCTTGACTCCAAGCGCGAGATGCAAGTCGCCGACGCACTTGACGAAATCCGAACCCGCAATGCGCGCATCGAGCGCAACGAGGCCCGTGCCGGCGAGGCTGCCATCGCTACTGTTCAGGAGAAGATCGACGAGGACGCCCTTCGAGCGGAGAGGGAGGCTGCCGAGGACGCGGAGGCTCTTGAACAGTTCAGGGCCAAGCAGCGTGCCGCAAAGTCGGCCAAGCTGGACGAAGAGATTGCAGATTTCGAGCGTCAACAGGCCGCTGTGGACACTGAGTCCTGGGGCAACGCCATCAAGGAGCGACGTCTCGCTCTTAAGGCCAAGAAGCTGGAGCGGAAGCAGAAGTACGGCCTGGTTTAAGGTTGAAGGCCTTTCTTCTTTTCTGAATGTTAACTACTAGTACCAGAGCTAATACAGATGTACTCCGAAGTATCAAAGACATTGTAGAAGGTATTAAAACAGGAAAGAAATCGGTATCACAATCATAGTAACGTGAAGTAAAGCTGCGCACGCACCTCGCCGAAGCGCCCACGCTCAGAAAAACAAACCCAGAGACGAAACCACCGCTTCAGAAGGCACAATAGCCATACAGGAAGTTCCCATGGCCAATTGGCAGGACAGAAACATACAACAACAAGCACTGCTCACAGATACGGCATCCACAATGCATCGCACGACGCCAGATGCTGGGGGTTGACTGCCTTCGAGATCAGATCGATGGTGGTCTGATTGGCAGGTAAATTGCCCTCCGGGGGGCTGGCAAGACTGACAGCACGGTTCACGATGATTTCGCTGTTGTTGTAGACCAGATCGCGGAGTTGTCCAGGGGGCAGGACACCGCGGTGATGAGCCGTAGCCCAGAACATCATCTCGTCGCGCACGAAGACGCTGAGCTGTTGCTCTAGCTCGTGTCGCGGCTCTGTCAGGCAGCGGGCGATTGCCATCATTGCACAGGCGAACACGCCCTCGGTCGCAATTGGACCCAGTAGGGTCTGAATGTTTGGTGTGAACCGGAAGGGGACTTGCTCGGGGTTGTAGAAGAACGCCTTGGCTGGGTTGATGGTGGGGATCAATTCAGCACCCCAGATGTCGCCCGTTGAACGGGATATCATGATTTTGTTCGGGTATCGGTTGCCAATGTGCATGACGTAGGTCATAAAAGCAATCGCTGCGTACTGGTAGGCGAATTGACGACGGAAGAGCCAGAAGTCCGAGAAGTTGGGGTATGTCTGCTGGCAGTACTCCAACACCACCGTACTCGGGACCCATTTGTCTTGAATCGCGGTCAGGATTTCTGTGCGAAGGACCTGTTGCTGATCGGGCGTGCGCTGGAAATTGTTAGCATTGGTTGCTTGAAAGGTATACGGCACACTTACGTTTTGCTTTGTTTCGGCCAACGATCGCATCTTGTCCATAGTGAAGAGCACCGGGTCATCCTTGTTAATGCCCTTGCGACGGCAGTAATCCTCATAAATTCCCTGCATGGAGATATACGAGGAATCGTCGCGCACCAAACGAATGTGTGGTGCTAGAGGAACCATTAACGGCAGGTGGAAGTACAAGTTGCGGCGGCGACTCTCTTTGCGTTTTGCAAGCAAACCATTGAAAATCCTGAACAGTTGAAGAATGCGTTCTTCACGCCTGCAGTGGCGGGCAGCGGGATGCTGAACGGCAAAGGCTTGCATACTGCCGTCATGTCCACGGATCTTCAAGCGGCGATGACAGACACCAATGCCTCGGATGAGGTCCACATCTGGAAGGAAGCGGTCGATACGGACAAAGTCTTGGTTCTTATCCTTGTGGAGTAGGTACTGGCCGGGAACCTCGACCTCATCAAACTTGAGGAAGCGGAACTCACTCAAATGAGGTGAAGAGTTTTCGAGGAATGTGTGCTGTGATCTGCGGTCAAGCTTTTCCTCGAACTTGTCACGCCAACGCCGCAACTTGTGGATGTACTCGTTCATGGTTGGCTTCTTGGTCACAAAGTCCGCCTCGAACGACTTGCGAATATGAGCTGGGAGGATTGTCTCTGCGAATCGAGTGATGTTGGCTTCTGTTGCGGCAGGCAACTTGAAGTCTTGGGCATAAGATCCAGGCATGCGACCGACGTAGGCCAGTCCATCGTTCAAGAGAGCAACAATGAGTCGATAAGCATCCTCGTCGGGAGGACACTTGAAGTTCTTGTGGATCTGGTCAACCATTGTCTCCATAGACAGAGCAAGCAAGGGGAAAGCCGTCTTAAGTCCAGACATGATTTCGTCCGAGTATTCCCAGGGTTTCTTAAGAGGCTCCTTCTCGCCCTCCACGGGTGCAGCCTGGTTCTGTTGGGGTGTCCCAGTCTGACCTGGCACTTGCAGATGAGTCTGCTGCGCTTGGCCTGAAGCTTGTCCAGCTTGTGGGGATGTCTGCATGGGGTTTTGTGGCTGTGCGGGAGACTGGCTTTGTGCTTGAGCCGGATTCTGTGTAGCAGGTGAGTTCGCGGGCGGAACTGATGGGGAGGCATTGGTCGATGCAGCTGCAGCCTGGGCTTTCTGGGCAGGAGAGCTATCAGCACCAGCAACGAGATTTGGCTTCGCACTTGGCGAGGATCCTTGCTGCTGCTGTCTGGCCCGATTCAGTTTCTCCTGCTTCTGGTCGTGCTGTTTCTTAATGCTCAGCATGTCCTCTCTGTTGGTGCGAAGCAAGAAGAAGAGAGCTTGTGGATACAATTTGGCGATTTTGACCAGGACAGCCTTGCAGAGGCGCGCCTCCCGATGGGATAGGCTGGTGAGAAGTTGAGGAATGAAGGTAATCCAGTACCACACCGGGGTGTCTCCCTTGAAGTTTTCGAACGCACTCGCGATCTTTCCTTCCTCGTTGTCCAGGCTGAGAAGCCAGAGAATTCTGCTGAGTAGCTTGCGCGACTTCGCACTCTTGTAAAGACCAGCCGCCTCCAGGTAGCAACTAACAGCATTGCTAGCCAGCTCGTAGTCAGTTGGATCAGCCTTGAAACGCTGATCACTGTATTGACCCCATTCAGACCAGGCCTTAGCAAGGCGGAGATCATAGTAAAGAGCAACTCCAAAGGCCTCATTGGCCTCATTGACATGATCAAGCTTCGCGAGGAACATGCCCTTGAGTGTGTAGAACTCAGCCTTCTGCTGCGGCCCGAAGTAGTTGAGGTTAGTATTGTTGATCACATCCAACCCGCTGTTCAGCTCCTTTGGATTCTGGTAGTGGCACTTCGCTTGCTCCCGAAGCTTGAGGAACGCCTCTTGGATTTCAATGTTCGGAAGGGTATAGATACGGCTGAGCTGGTTGATGCAGACCTCTGGCATCTGATGTTTTCGAGCTACATGGGCGAATCGATTAATGATCCAGGCTGTTTCATGGTAACCGCGGTAAGCGTAAGAGTTGCTGGCGACATTGTTCGTCTGTGGAGGCAAAAGACTGAGATAGGTGCCGTTGATGAGCTGGAAGATGTGCTGACGCCAGGTGACGAGATCTTGCCATGTGTTGATGTCATCCCAGAGATTGGGCAAACGGTCTCTCCAGGTTCCGAGAAGCAGTTTGAGCTCGGCGGACTTGGTATCCAAGTTCCTTTCATTTGTCTGGGCCAAGCTGCTACAGATGTGGCTTGCATCGTGCAGCTCAACTAAGAGTTGGAAATGCTGCAGGATGGGAATATGGGCGTTGGTAATACGCTTCGGCAATTGAAGCCATTTGCGGATAGAGAGCTGAATGGACTCGTCGCAAACGCTGTTGAAGTCCTGGATATTGTCCTTCTTCGTGTGGTATTGGAGAAGGGCCATGAAGGCCTGGAAGAAAGTCCGTCTGGGAGTTGGAGCATCGGACACAGACTTGATCAATGACTCAAGCTGCTCACGGTTACCCTCGCTCTGCCAGTTCTCAATGTTCCGCCAAGCAGCCTCCAACAAGAGATCGTTCAGGTTCTCATGCTTGGCGAAGTCGCTCAGAATCTCCCACTGCTGGAGCTTCTGGGCACAGATCAGCCAATGATCCTCCCACACAAAGTATTCACCCTGCGAGAATGGCATGGCGCCAGAACGGGCCTTAATTTGGGCGTTCTCGTACAGTTGTTGAGACTTGTCCCACATTCCTTGTTGCTCGTACGAAAGCGCGGCATTAGTTTCAACAAACTTGCATCGACGGCGCCAGGTTCCGTAAAAGAAGTCGTCCTCTTGGAGGCCTGCGTAGACTTCAACGAGGGCATCAAGGTTGCTTTCTCGTACAGTAGGCGTGTCAATTATGGGATTAATGGCGGTTTGTTCAAGGTAGGTCGCAGCAGTGTACCATGCGTCGTACGTTCGGCTAAGGTATTTCACAACATGGGGAGGGATTTTGAACCGAGGACTAGCACGCACAGTGCCCTCCAGAAGAGCTTGCACGACGTTGGGCCGCTTGTCCAGTTGTCTATGGTGGTACTCACGAGTAAGCAACGTGACCATGTCCTTCTCTAGATCAATGCAGTCTTTATTGGACAGTGTGGACCAGAAGAGAGGGAAGATGGTAGTCCACAGCTGGTAGGCAACATTCGAATCGGTGTGTTGAAGCTGACATAAAGGCTCGATCAGATCGCGAACTCTGACGTCGCCAACATCCGACATGAATCGTCTGCGCTCTGCAACGAAAGTCTCCAGCTGGCTGTCAACCGTGATATCGGCCTTCCTCACGTCTTTATCGCTGCTGCCAAAAAGGAATGACACAGGGAACAGGATGAAATCTTCGGGGTGCAAGCGGGCAGTGGTTGTCATATCCACACATCCAAGCACCAAATGGGAGGCTTGCGCCAGCCAGAAGGAGTCCGCAAGAGTGTCCCAGTTCTGGCATGTGAGGACATAGCTGAGACGTGAGCTCGCAAGGCGAGTCAAACTGCGATCGAAAATTTGCATGAAGCGGTTTCGCATTTCAACGTCTTGGGCTCTTGCGCCAATCAGGAAAGCATGCTCCAGGCGGACTGTCAATTCAGTCCGAGTGATTTTTGAGTCTTCGTAAATTCGAATGACAAGATCAAGGAATTTCTTTAACATTGTCTGATCAGGTCGAGATTCGAAAAGCAGCATCTTATGCAGAACAGCTGTCTTCTCCTTTAGGGTTGGCCATGACTCGGTGGAATGGAAAATCCACGATTCTGCCATGCCCAATATCTTGCTGCACAGCTCGATATTTTGTGAGCGCTCCACAATCTGTGCGAGAACGCTCAAGAATGGACGACGTTGGTCGCCAAGATGAGACATTCTAACAGAGATAAGCTCAATAGTCTTGAGGATGAGATCAACTCCAATCTCAAACTCTTGTTGATCGGTAGTTGGAGCTCCTTCGGCGGGCTTAGTGCCGTTTGTCAACTGGGCGCCATTCTG